AAACACAATGACAGTTTTGCAGGAGAAATGAGTTTGTCTTAACTATAAGTAAAATAAACATTAAGGTCCCTTGAAATCTTTAGCTTTATCTTCAAAGTTGGTCAGAGAGTGACATGAAAAGAGATACCAATGACTCTTTATTGTTTATAATGTTCACTACAATTGAAGTACTGGGACATTTTGTCTCACTTTTTTCTGGTGTTTTACTAAGTTGGAAGGCTTAGTAAAAGGGATTACAATACTTCCTGAGAGCTACCTACTACTCTAGTTGGTTTACATTTATTAATTCAACCGTAGTATGACTACAGCATACATTTTCTCATCTTCCATGTGAGGAAACTAAGGCACTGCAAAGTTAAATAACTTAAGCATGGACATGTAGCTTATGAGGCGTTGGGCTAACAGAAAGAGCAGGCATACAGCATGAGCAGTTCTTGGCCTGTACCTCCCCAAAGTCATAAAAAAGTCACTGACTCCAAGTAAATAGGAATGAGGCTACAGCTTCATGGCTTAACACTTGCCTAGCACAACGTGTCCAGGGACCTAGATTCAATCCTCATTATCAAGAAGTGGGTGGATCTGAATATAAGTAATACTTTTGATATACTTGAAGAAAATCCCACTTCCAACATAGACATAGTGGTGCACAGTTGTAATTCCAGTAATGGGATCAGGTGGGGACAGAGGTGTGTGGCTCATGAGTTACCAGCCAGTGCCAAAGAGGAGGAAGAATGAATGAGAGTATATGTCTGGACAGGCTCAAGTGTCCCCTCCCTGCTACTGGCAACCAAATCATTACCATTAATCCTCTATGTATAAAAATGTTAGACTTGTCCCCACTGTCACTAATGAAAGAAAGTTGGCCTCTTTGAGGCAAGGAACATATCTGAACCCAGTGTTATAACTCAGAAATTAATATGCTATGCTGACAGGTCTGTCTTGAGGTTGAAGACAGTATATTCAAGTCTAAGACTCCAACAAGAAACACACAGTCTGGGACATAATACCAGTGTACCACAGTAGTTTATTAGGAAAATCACTTCTAATACACACTCCATTCAAATGAATGTGCAGGAAATGGAAACAGATTTGATTTTAAGTGCCTCAGACACAAGGGTCAACTACATGTGATCTAGGCTGAAACCTCAAGACTGGAGTCTAGGCTCAACTTCTACCTACAGCATCTTCCAGAAATGGCTACAATCCCCAGTGCTTCTCCTGAGAGTGACTCCCTCTGCTGCTCCAGCAAAGCTATGACCTAAATCAGAAACATGCTATTTGCAGTTAAGGCCTAATGAAGCACATTCTCCCCCAATCATGCTAATAGGAGGGATACTGCACGCATTAGAGGATGGTTATATTTACGTCTCAACAATAAATAAGCCAAGAAAGTGAGGCTAGTACATCTCATGCCTCCATTATATCCTTAGGAGAGTTGTTTGCATATATTGGTATGAATTCTGATGATGATCTGTTCCCAAGGTGCAATGATAGACACTTTAAATGATCCTTCCCTGCTTAACTAGGATGTTTATTATAATGTAATGATTTCTTTTCTTTGTTTTATTGACAAAGTCTGGCTTTGTTGTACAGAATAGCTTTGAACTTATGTTCCTCATGCCTCAGCCTCCTTCAGTAGGAGTCTTATAGGAGTATACCACCACACTCCTTGTTTTGTTTTTTAAAGCAGGTACTTGGAAAGTTTGTTCTCTGAAGGCTTTTTATCACTAAGTTAGAATGCACAGGATTACCTGCTGAACAAAGGCCAATTTGCCTATTTTCACTTATTGTAGATCCCCAAAGAGAATGCATGAATTTGTCCTCCCAATTGAGCAGTACATGAGAGAATAATAATCAAACTCATCAGTAACACAGCAACATACATAAAGTCTTGAAAGTATGATTTCCTTCTCTCCAAGAGAAGTGTGTTACTTGTTTTCTGAACACACTATAAATTAATGCAATGTGAATTATCTTTGTCTTGTCCTTGGCAATTTTCTGGTCTGAATTTGAAGGTGTTAGCACACATAATGCTAGTTGGTGGCAGATAAAAGAGGCATTATAATACGTAAGGGTGGAGTGATAGAAGACAATAATTCATGAACACATCTCTCTCTCTCTCTCTCTCTCTCTCTCTCTCTCTCTCTCTCTCTCTTCCCCCTCTTTCTAGTAAAAATCTTTCATTATTGGAAGTCAGGAGCCCTGAAAATTCCCTGGAGTGAAGGTTTCCCAGAAATCTTCAATGAAACAATTAGAGCCCATGCAGAGAGGGGAACGTTGTTGTCTACAGCTTAGAGAATTTCCCAAGGACCTGGTTAAAATGACTGCTGTCTGTCTTTAAACCACAATTGCAAAACTCATTCACTCACAAATGATACTCTCTCTGTTCTATCTTAAGCACTGTTTCCCCCCTCTCCTAGACTGTTTTCAACTGGATACATATTTATTTTCAAAAGCTTCTCATTTTCACAGTACTGCTCCAACAGATTAAAACCCTTCACATTGCAAAGTACTTAATGAATGTCCCTGTTCTAATTGCATTGGTGCTTGCATTCATAAAAATAGTCCACTGGGGTCATTAAGGTATCAGAACGAGCAAATGGCACCTTGAGGGTATCTGTGGGAACGCTAATGCAAAATAAAGAGAAAGGATACAGGGGAGGAGATGGGAGCCTGCCTCCCAGACCGTCCTACAGTGAATGACTTGAGAAGAAAGTGTTAACAGCAGGTCAGTAGTAAACAGGCCTGGCTAATGAGTAGCAGCCACAGGGACAGTAGCTGATAGCAGATTTCTGTGCTTTACACTTCCTTTGATGTAGCACAGATAACACAGGAAGAGCTGGTGGTCTGGAACATGGAGGATAACAAAGATAAAAGTAGGAATCCTGCCTCTCAGACCATGTGATTTGAAGGAGAAATGTTATTCTCCCTGAACTAAAGTAAATGGAGAAAAACCACACCAAGAAACACACACACCCTGCCGAACCTGCTTTTCTTTTGCTGTCTAAGATCAGAATTAATCCTCAGTCTTTGCCTTGTCTGGAGCAGAGGAAGAAAACGTGCAAGAGGCAAAGAGAATCCGGGGTTCCTTTTCTTTTAGGCTCTGCTCCCTTCTTTCAATATTAATCCACTTACAGGCCCCCATTTGATTATCTCTATCGATCCTTCTCCTACCCAGTCTTTTTAATTTGACTGTTGTAAGCTCTCCGCAGGGATCCTGCCTCCTTTTGGCATCTTTGGGGACTTTAACTTGCCTGCTCCCAAACCATTTCTTACTCTGCCCCTCAACCCCAATGGCTTAGTCCTTTGTGCACCCAGTAATGACACGGGTTTCCAGCAGGAGTCACATAGCTGTTGCCAGAACTGTTCCTCAGGTTGCTCACTTAGGCTTCCTAAGGTCCTCTTCTAAGCATTCCTGGCCAGTGTCCTGAGAACTTCTGATCAATTTCAAGAAATACGGGCTTTCCAACACAGAGTCCCTTAAAAATGGTCAGATGTGCTCTGGGGGTGTGCAGAGCTGACCCTCAAGAATGGGAGAGTCATTCCAAAAAGTAAGGAAGGATTTATGAGCATAGCCACTTAGCAATGTAGCAGAGAGAAAAAAAAAAACACATTCTTCTTAAGTAGCTGTCTCTGATTCACACTGCCTTGCTAATGATACCTCTTTCAGGAGCGAGCACCAGACTTGCCTGGCCTCCGGGCTGCCTTCTGCATGCATCACCCCCTTCCTGCACCAGGGCATTGAGATTTTAGGAGATGAAGTCTGCAGTTGGGAAAAACCAGTCTAGGAGCATCACTTGAGGAGTCCGGGTTACAACTTGGCCTCCCCATCTCTCCAAATTCATAAAAGAAGAGGAACAAACCAGACGCGCGCGTGTGTGTGTGTGTGTGTGTGTGTGTGTATACAGGAAGGTCTCTGAACTGCTTTTCAGTTGCAGCCTCTTTCAAAGTGATATCGCCTCCTGGCTATAGGCATAAAATAAATAAATAAATACTTTTTTTTTTTTTTAAAGTGGATGAAGGATTCCGGTGGGAACTGGGCTTGGATGAGATGCCTAGGTGACAGGAGATAAGCCAGAAAGCTCTCTGCCTTGCTTTTACCCACTTTCCAGACCGAAACGCTGGAAACTGCACCAACTCAAACTCTCTGAGCAAGGAGGGACGCTCCCTTTCCCCCACACACACCAAAAGATGACCCTCAGTCTAGGTGCCTCCCCTCCGCCTTTACACATTTCCAACTCTGAATAACTGCCCTCCTAATTCGGCTTTGCTCAGGGCGCCACACTCTTACTTCAAGGCTTACATGCATTAAAATGTCAGCTATAAACTGGTTAGCAGTGCCCCTTCTTCAGGGAGTTGCAGACTTGGCTTGAACAACTAGAGTCCCCCACCATGGGCTGTGGGTATGAAGTTTTTCAAGGTTCGCCTGGCGGGAGGGGTACACGGAGAGATTGCCAGTGGAGAGACAGTTACATCCGAAGCCTGTCCTTTCTGGGCGAACCGAGCGTCTCCATAACGCCCCCACCAGCAGTCTGAGGGCACCAGCGCCCAAAGGTCCTAGACACATTTCCTTAGCTGAGATGGGAGAAGATCCAAGCAAGCCCAGTCACCGCACACCGCGGGAAGTCTCTGCACACCACGCATATCGGGGCGCATGTCTGGCACACCACACCGCCACTATCCAGTGCCTTTGGAAACCTCCATGTGTACAGTATGCAACAACGTGCGCGTGTGGGGCTGAAAGTGCAAAAGACACTCCAGAATCCCACAGGCACAGAGGCGGCGGCGGCCACACTTTCATACCCCGGGTCCATCCTCATCCGGAGCTAATACTGAAAACCAGGTTTCATAACTAGTTGGGAAAGTGGAATTTAAAGTGGTTTCCACTGAGGGCAATCAGGCAGATGAAGAAGCTAGGATCACCGGGGAGACGGAGAGGCAGAAAAGAGGCAAGGCAGAAGCAAAGGGAGGTGACCGCCGCGCCCTGTGGACCCCCTTACCTTGAGCGGCCGAACCGGTGCCACTGGCGCTGAGCAGGGCCAGGGCAGGTAACACAAGCATCTGCAGCAAGTATCCTAGTCCCAGTCCGCAGCGGGCCGCTGTCGCCCGCAGACCTTTCCTCATCGTCGGCAGAGGTGTGCGGGGAAGGGGAAAGCCACCAAGAGACACGCGAACAGCAGAGAGCCCCGCCGGGCAAGAGGCAGAATCCGGCCACCGCCAGGCAGTCCTGAGAAATAACAGCAACCCGAGCGCCACACTCCACTTTCTCCAAGGGCAGGGGCCAAAGGGGGTGGAGAAGAGCCTCCGAGGAGGAGTTTGAAGGTCCCTCGTCCTCTGCGCCTAGCCACTGACGTCTCCCGCCTGCGAGTGCTCTGCCCCCACTCGGGAAATGCTGGGAGGCGCAGCGCGGCCAGCACGGCCGCTCCCGCAGTTCCACCGCCAGCGGAGCGGGCGCTGCTCTCGGGTCCCCGCGCCCGCGGGGATCGCACAGACGCCGTGGAGGGGAGGTGGCGAGAGTGGGAGGAGATGCGAGCGGGCGAGGCGCTCCTGGCTCCTATCCTGGCGCTCCTGTGCAGGAGAGAGACGCCCCGGCTGCCGCCCGCCCACCGACGGTCCGGCGACAGTCGCCTCCTGAAGTGGGGCGAGAGGGGGTCCTGGGAGGCGCTCGCAGAGGAGGAGTGGAGGGCGCGGCCCCACTCCGCGTGGGGGGGGGGGCGGGAGGCGGCGGCGGGAGCGCGCTCGCCCGCCTTATGTAAGCGAGGATGGAGTGAGATCCACGCCCCGCGTGGAAGGTGGAGTCCGCCGGGTTCACTTGATCACTCGCTCCAGCGCTGACAAGGGACACCTGGAAGCTGAGGCTAGCACGGCCAGGGCAGCGCAGCCTCCCGCCGGGCGCCAGACTCCTGCTCCGCCAGCGCTGCGGGCGCGCCTCAGGCCACTTGGCCCCGTCCAGCGGAGCTCAGCCCACCGCCTGGCAGTGTCCCCGAGCCGGCCAAGCCTCAGCCAGACGCCCCAGGACTGCACTCGCGCTAGGATTTGGGGAGTTGCGCTTGATTAAGCCGGAGGCGGGCTGGAACTTATTCTCAGAGATGGGAAAGAAGGCAAGGAGCGTTTGCGGTGCCCCAGCCCACTATCTTTGGGTTGTCAGCGCCAGTCAGGCTGTTTTATGCTCTGCGAGCCTGTGACCTATTTGCAGTGGAACAAAAACTAAAAATCAATGGAAACTCCCTCGGTACTGCTTCCTTTGCTTGTTCATCTTGGTGGCTGCTGATATTCAGCATATAAAGAGTGCCGAGGCAATACTGAGAGAAACTCCCTGAAAACAGACAGAACAAAATTCATAGATACTCAAATGATGTTGGAGCCTTTGAATCAGCCTCCAAATTCCTAACAGCAGCGAGTGAGGACAAAATCTGCAGCAATTCCGAAAGAATTGAGGCGGGGTGGAAGGATTAGTTAGGGTGTAGATTTCCCATGTAAGGGTGAAGGAGGAACGTAAAGATAAACGGGTACAATTAGACCAGTCTAAACAAAAGGAAGGCAAACGTATGAACGCACTAGTTATGCTCCACAAGATATCTGTGTGAGAAAAATCCATTTCTAGGATTACTGCATTTTAAAATTAATACTTTATCATGTAATAGTTAAGATCACAGTGCAAAAGAATCATCTATAAACACACACGCGCGCGCACACACACACATGCACACACACCACTGGAGGGAGCAGGAAGGAAGAAGGGGGAGAGAAAATAACAATTTCAGGACTAATTTGTACTATAGTCATAACTCTGTTCAGGTGAGCAGATCAGGTAACCTTTGCATGCCTTGATTTCTTTTTCTGGAATTTTCTCCTAGATTTTTGCTAATACCTCATGATTTTGCCTACCTAGTTCCATTGAAACTTCTACCCATTATGTACGCTGTGGATGAATTTCATTGACTGGGGACCGTCACTCTTGGGAGAGACACTGACAAAATTAGCCAGCCCCTTTTTATTTCCATGGAGACTCTGCCTGCCAATTTAAAAACGCTTAATTTCCTTTAGCTTTCTCACGTGGCCACATCATGATATTTAGGTAAGAGGTCACATGCTTGTGCCAGATGGGCGGATCAATCCGCACTGATTTACCAGGTGGATGACATTGGCCAAAATGGCCAAGTGTCTTTTCGTCTAATCTGTAAAATGGGTCTACTAAAAGGAGTGATATGCGAGGTTATGTGAAGTTTAAATGTGGGTAAAGTACCTGGCATAAAGTCATTGTTGATTACTCTTTGATCTAGAACATCCTCAGCTTATCTTTCTACTTCAGCCAGTTCTGTTCCATAATACTATCTTCAGTTAAGGTTGAGAGTGTGCTTGTATCTGTGTTCTCCAAAATTGCAGTTATTGGCTCACACACCTATCTGGATACTGGAAGTGTGGCTTCTGTGAAATGGCAATTTTAACTTTTATGTCACTAATCATTTGAATGATAATGGCTATCTGGAGATTTTACACACACACACACACAGAGTGGATGATAGTGATAACCCATCACCGTAATGAATAGTACCACCAGAAGGGACTATGATTAAACCTAGTGGTTTTCTTTTTCATTTCCTCCAAGAAGGATAAGAGCTTGAAGCCCATGAGAGAAATCTCTGTGCAAACTCAGTGCGTGTAAACAAGATCCCAAACATGTAAAATGTTAGGTGTGGTGGTGTGTGGTTTTCATCCAGCACTCAGGAGACAGAGGCAGAAGAATTTCTGTAAGTTTGAGGTCAGCCTGGTCTACACAGCGAGCTCTAGGATAGCCAGGGCTATACAGAAAGAACTTGTCTGAAACAATGACAAAGTCAAAGAGATATTCATTTATTCTTTATACCATTCCTTTTTAAGTCCAAGTAGAACTTGACTCATTTGAAGCAGATGCCTTGCCTTGTGGGTCTTTAGCACAGAGCCTGATCTATAGTTGTTATTCAGTCAGGTTTGGTTGGCTGAAAGTACACAAGGGAAGAATTTTCCAAGTTTAGGGCAGGTGAGAAAGGTTAAAATGGTCACACCCTCTTGCTTTGGGTCTTTGAAGCCCTAAACAGTCATGAAATTATTGCTTAAAAATTATTACCAATAAGCGATAAGGAAAAGAAAGTGGTTCAGTACTGAAATTCAGCCTAAAGAGGGCAGGAGAAGGGTTGGAGAAACGGTATGCAGAAACAGCAGAGTCAGAGCACATGAACTGGGGCAGGGGAAGCCCCGTGAGGAGAGCAGCTCTAGCATGCAGGCTGGCACACACTGCCTTTGTATCTGCATTCTGCCTAGTGTCACTGACTGTCACAATTTTCTCTTCGTGAAAACAACAGTGTTTCAGAGGCTGCTGAGTGCAGGCTCACTAAATCTCTGAGATATGGACTCAAATATCCCTGCCTACTCAGGATTCTGACTAATTTCTGGGAAACAGAAGCAAGTTATCACCTTCTATTCCATTCACCTGCTTGGATTTTCCAAGTAGTGCTTATTTTACATATCTGCCCACATTTCTGAATGCTTATTTTATACATCTATATGTGTATGTACATCTATAAATATGTGCAATATAAATACTTGCCAATAAAAAGTATGCATCTTAAGGGGAGGATATTTTTCCTATTATGTTCAGCACTCTCTGCCCAGAATATAGAACACAGCCTAGCACAAAGTCAATAAATATTTCTTGGATATTGAATAGAGAAGTGAGAGCCAGTGGATTTGAAAACTGAGCCAAGTTCTGAATAGCACCCTGTTCATTTTTAAATGATCTGTAGGCTTTTCTAACTGTTGAATAAAAATCAAGTGTGAAGAAAACCGAACCCAAAGTGTATCTGAATGTGACCTTTCAGGTTTGGGATACCGCAGGTGTTTAAGGAACCAACATGAAATGAAGCTTATTTTTGAAAAAAAAAAAAAAACAAAAAACAAAATAAAAAGCTTCCTTTCAATACATGTGCAAGGGCTTCCTATTTCTTGGCTCCGGTAAGTGGAGAATTAACTGTGGGATAATAAATCCCAGTGACAGGTGCTAATGGGAATTAAGCATGCAAATCCCTTGCATATCCCTCCAGAAATCTACACCAAGAAAAGTATGCTATTTAGCGTGTGGGCTGCTTAGTAATAATAGTATTTACTCTAAACCACTATGGAAAAAAAGTTTCCAGTACAAGGCTTAAATAAAATGAACTGAGCATATATTTTCATAACAGAAATAGTTTCTGTCATTTTTATCTCTGTCCTTGTATTTGATTCTTCACAATTTTGTGCTTTTATGGAGGTCTAAAAATAATTTTCTGCAGTGGGAGATATTATTAACTGGCTATACTGAAGCAGGATTTCACCGAATAAACAGGATGAGAGTAAGGAAAACTCTTCTTAAGCAGGAATGGGGGATGGGCATGGAGCCCTCCTGTAATGTGACTGATAAACCTCAAGTAAGAGAGGCCAGATGGTGCAGAATCAGTTGATTCAATCCCCATTCTTATTTTCAGCCCAGAGAGAGAGACTGAGTCTCTCATAAACCATATACTCTAAATTTTTATGCTTTTTGTTCATTTTATTAAGCAAGACCCTTCACAAGTGAAAGCAACGTGACTTAAGCTACCTCTTGAGAAAAATAATGATTTATTCTTCTATCCAACTTAAAAGCTATGGGGGGCAAATGTCTATGCTCCTAATAGGTAACGTTTATGGATTAATTGCTATGTCCAGGTGATGACTCTAAGCTCTTTTTTACTACCTTCTTAATTATCACGTTGAATATTGAATTACAAATTCCCACTATTGTCTTACTCCATTAGTAATGCTATAACAAAATACTAAAAATGGTAATGTATGAAAAACACAAATGGACCTCCCTATTTCTGTGAAGGCAATTGGGAAATCTAAGATGGCATTACTGGGAACTGTGGGTTTCTTCTTGCTGGGTCATCTAATGAATGAGTAAAGACATTGAGAGATTTGAGAGAGCAGGAGAAGATGGGCCTCTCATCCTCTTATAAGGAACCCATTTCCACGCAGACTGCCTACTTATGTGATAACTTAATGCATTCATGAGGACAGTGCACCATGACTCAGTTACCTCCTGGAAGGCATCCATGACTCAATACTACAGCAGTAGGGATCAAGTGTCCAACACATGAACTTTGGGGTCACAGGGAAACCTAGAGTTGATATTTTTATACAGAAGGAAACAGAGTGCCTAAGTAACACAGTTAATATTTCCTAATGCCACTCAGATTTCAGGGATCATATTCTAGTCCCAAGAACCTACATATCACTAACAGCTTTGATTCTTATACCTGTATCC